CATTCATCATTCTGCTCCGTCCAATATTGGGGCTCTTTTTATCAGTGGTATCCGTAGTCATGTCATCACCTCTGGTATAAATCTTCTGTCACTGGCTGTCGTTTCTGTACCCTATTAAACCCATGCTCTCCTATAATCACCAAATGACCTTTGGATGTCTTTCATTAACCCCTGACCTAAACCTTGCCAGTGTCTTGTTGGTAGGTAAATCTATGACATGACATTTGCCTATAACCCTACATTTATCTCCATTTATTAATTTGTGCCTTTTCAGTGATTGCTCCCAAGTTGAAACCTGGTAGGAATTTTAGATAAGAGTGTCTTTAATGCCCTTGAACATAATAAGCTTTAGGCATACAATATATGCACTTTATTCTTACAGCATATCCTAGGTGATGCTAGTAATATTTCTTACAAACACACACATATAACCCTCTAACCCTGGAAGTCTACCTCTTGATGACAAGTGATGTCAATTATTCCTGACCACAAAAGTAGAACTTTGCTTTAGAAAACAAAAGGCACCATCTCTTAGGAAGCTCTGTGGTGCAACACTCACTCAGTGAAAAGGAATTGTGCAAAAAGCATTGCCAAACATATTTCATTTTAGCTACTTACCTCTCCTTTCCTTGGTTTGATTAATTAATACTTTTGATTTAAAAATTTAACTTTATGCCTGTGACACATCTAAACTTTGAAAGTGGAAATCTGTTTGGAGTGTGAGGTTGCATCCTCAGATGGACATTTTTAAAAACTATATATAAATTAAATATTTGCAGAAGGTACGCTGCTTAATCTCAAAAGGAGTTAGTTAGTTAGAAGCCACAGAGTCCAGCTCAGCTCCCGGTGACTGCATAAACAAATATCCATCATGTCAATCTATCTCTAATAAAATTTATCTCTAATAAAAAGCTGTAGTTATTTCAGGGATATTCCTGTAATCTCCTTGATTACATCTTTACCCCTTATCTGTGGTCTTCCTCTTCTCCTCTTCTTCTTCCCTCAATTTTGCCAAGCAATAATAGTTTTAGAATTTAGAATTAGGATTAGAATTCTTATGAAGTTTTCTTTAGCTACTTGTATTTCTTAGTGACAAATGGATTCCTGAAACAAAAGTCTTCTGCTTGCTTTCTTCCCTGCACTTTTTCCAGTTTCTTGTAGATTCCAACCTTTAATCAGGAGCTGGAGGACAATATTATTTCTCTTTTATTTCTAGAAGTGCTCATCTTCTTCCTTTATTTTTAAAAATATACAAATATTTCCAACTGGCAGAAGGGAGGGGTTTGTAGTAATATCTGAATAGAAGATTCTAAGCCATACCCCAGTCAGCTTTGATGTTAATTAAATGCAACATGGACAGCTGTCAATGAACATGGGTAAGGAGTTGCCTGCCCCTTGAATGCAGAGACCTACATATGTAGAAGTATAGTTTGTATCGAGCCATCACTGGGTACATATCAAGATTTGACACAATCTTGATTTTCTGTGGAAATCTACACTTTGTGGGATATTCATTCAACTCTAGACCTAAGAAGGAGGCAATGGCAAGCCACTTCTGAAATCTTGCCAAGAAAACTGCAGGGACTTGTCCAAGCAGTTGCCAGGAGTCAACGCTGACTTGGAGGTGTGTGTGCATGTGCATACACACACACACACACACACGTGTACTATTATAATGCATATTAAGGGTGCAATGCTTTGAAGAGTTTGACACATCAGAACACATTGTGTACTGTATAGTGTGGTTAGGACACACACATGTGCATTCCCAGAGGATTACCACTTTGAAGGGTTAGGAGGCCTTAGTAACTTCAGGGACTATAGCCACATCTTCACAGCTGTTTTGCTGTGCTCCTTTCCCATCCTGGAGCTGGCAGGATATCATGCCATTCTAAATCCTGCTGCCCTAACGGTGCACTCGTAGTGCATACAGAGGATGGGGCTGTGTTGTGGTGCTGTCCATACAACTTTAAGATGCAACATACTAAGCCATCACAAATTATGAGCTCCCTCCCCAATTAATAATTGTTGTTGGTGTTCTTTAGAAATTCATGTTTCAGGCAAGCCACTTGGACAAGTCCAGTGGAGGTGTCTGAAGCAAATCTTGTAAGGTTATCTGCAGTGAATTTGTGGCTGTGACTCTGGAGGAAATGGACAATATCCTCTGGACTGTGAACTCAGCTACTTGCTTGTTAGATCTGGGTCCCTTCTGATTGGCAAAGGCTGCACAAGAGGTGACCTATGGCTGGGTCCATGCAGTGGTTATCATCCTTTTGAGAAAGAGGATTGTTCCCTTGGACTCAAGCAGGAAGTGGTGCACCTCCACCTCAAGAAACCATTGCTGGACCCAATGATTCTGGACAACTTTTGTCTAGTCTCCAACCTTCCCTTTTTAGGGAAGGTTGTTGAGAAAATGGTTGGGCTCCAGAAAGTCCTGGAGGAGACAGATCTGGACCCCTTTCAGCAGGACTTCAGCCTGTGTTTCAGTACACAGACAGCATTGATTTTGCTTGTTGATGACATGTGGCAGTGTTGGGATAGGGGTAATTCATCCAAATTGTGTTCCTTGCTCTCTCAGTTGCTTTTGATACTATTGATCATGATATACTTCTGGATTGGTTGTGAGGCTTGGGAATGTGAGGCACATTATGTGATGGTTCTTTATCACCAGTTTCAATCAGCGTTAACAAAGAAAGACAGAGATCAAGTCCATGGCCTCTCACTTGTGAGGTGCCACAAGTCTCATGTTCTTGCCCTTTTTGTTTAACATCTACATGAAATACTGGGTGAGATCATCTGTCTGTTTGGGGTCAGGCATCACCAGTATGCTGAAGATACCCAACAATACATCTCAGTTCTAGGCTGACCAACTGTTTAAGTTCTATTCCAGTGTCTGGAGGCTGTGTGGGTCTGGATGGGAGAAATAGACTCAGGCCCAGTCCTGACAAGACTGAGTGGCTGCAGATATTTGTCTCCCCCTCCCCCCCCATCTGCGGACATTCCTTCTTTGGTCTTGAATGGGGTTGCACTTGAGCAATCTGGGGGTCATCTTGGATTCACAGCTCACAACTTTCACAACTTGAAAAGCAGGTGGCTGCTGGGGCTAAGAGGACCAGAATGTCCTTCAGACAGTCACTCATGTCTTAGTCATTCACAAATGGATTACTGTAATGCATTATACATGAGATTGTCCTTGAAGACCACTTGGAAGTTATAGCTGGTCCAGGATGTGGTGGTGTGGGTGGTGATGAACATGCCTCACTATGCTCATGTGACTCCACTGCTCCATGAGCTGCACTCGTTACTGGCTGTATCTGGGTGCAATTTAAGGTGCTGTTTAACAGTTGTACATTCCTTTATGGCATAGGGCCTGGTTATTTGCGGGACTGTGTCAGTCCAATTGCTTTTGTCCATCCAGTGAGATCAAGGAGAGTGGGTATGCTTTGGATCCTATTGAACAAGCAGTGTCATCTTGTGGAATCTAGGAGGCATGCCTTCTCTGTTGTGCTCCTTGCCCTGTGAAATATCCCTCTAGAGATCGGGATGGCTCCCCCTCACATGACATTCAGGAAGGTATAAAGATCTGGCTATTCTCCCAGACAGGGCAGGGTGATGCTTGAATCATTTTGGGAAGGGTTTTTTGTTTAGATCTTTATTCTTGGCATGCTCATGATTTTTTCTGCTTTTTATATTTTCCTACTTTTTTAGCTGTAAGCCACCCATTGTTACTGGGAGTCAAACAGCCTCCAAATTGTACAAATAAATAAATAAATAAATAATCTAGGAATTGTTTAGGTAATGAATAATGAATGAATGAAGATATAACAGGTGCCTCACAAAGTATTTTTTTTAAAAATCCATAGTTAATATAGCCAAAATATATAGTTCTTGTAAAAATTTGCCTATTTGTTATTCTGCCTACTACACTAACAACTATAGTCAGTCTGAGCAATTTTGCTGCATCCATTAATTATGTGATCCATCTTTTTTTCTTTACAGAGTCTGCATTTACTGTTGTTTGATAACATATTCAATCTTGATTTCATCACATTTGTTTTTAATGCAGAAAATTAATCTTTCTGTTTCCTTCTTGATAGTGCCAGCTGGCAGCCAATCCCAACTCCTGGTCTTGTCCACTTTATTTTCAACTTCTTTTATGTATTGCCATGTAGTGGTTTACTTCTCCAATTTTCTAAACAGTTTTCCAATAGTTGACTTTTATAGTCTTTTTTTTTCCCTGCTACTTTCAGGAAGTTTTCTTTATACTTTGATGAGTATTTTCTCTTCCCTTGCCTCAGTGTAATCATTTAATCCATATTTTTCTGCTTCAACTGTCTGTTTTACCTTCAGTAAGCCATTCCTTCCAATTTATACTAAATATGTAGTCAATCAACTTCATGGATATAATGCATGATGCACTGTCATCAGCTTCCAGATCCTCCAGTCTAAATTGTTCAGTTCAAGCTATGTCCAGTTTACTATACCCGTAACATATTGCCTATGTATTTATGGCTTTTATTGTATCTCTACCATTTAACTTTGAATTTAGAATTTTTTGCACTCATTTTAAATATTCTGAACTTTGTCTAGCTTCTCACCCTGTCTGGTATAATTGAACTTACCAGTAGCTAAGCTACCACCAGCATAACTCCTGGTGTCATTAAGGCACACAAGCTCCCTTACCACAACAGGCTAGTGGTCCTCGAGAAGGGGCATTGTTGTTGTTATCAGCATAATTATTATTTGTGTGCCTTTTCTCCTTGAAATGCACCATCCTCTACTGTCCTCCAGATGTACTCGACTTCCAGCATTTATTGCTAACATAAATTCTAGAATTCTTCTGACCAGGCTGGTTAAGAATTCTGGAAGCTGGATCTCAACAAATCTGGAGGGCACCAGGATGGGTAAAACTGCTCTAATATTTACTAAACAAAATATTATGTAATATCATCACATTTAATCACTGTACTTCTCTTTACTGGGTACAGAGAAATGTATGGCATGACATAATTTTCTTTTCCTAAACCATAGAGGAAAGAATCATTTAAAGATACATGTGTATTTATCAGATTTGATTACTGGTGTAATCTGCAAGGACTCTTGGCAGGTAGCAAACACAACAAGGATACATAATTAAAACATCCACAGTACACAAATTAAAACATCCATGGTAAGTAACGATAATTAATTAAAGTTAAGGTTAAAATCAATTAATTAAAGTAGTATCCAGAGCCATCATACAAAGAGCAATCATAACATGAATAGTGTCAACCCAGTGAACCACCCAACGTTTTACAGAAGAGCTCCATCTTCACCAGCTTCTGGAAAGCAATCAACACTGGGATAACTTTAGCTTCTAGACAAAGGCTGTTCCATAACACCAGAGCCAATAAGGAGAAGCAATGTCTTCTGGCCTCAGCTTCCTTCACTTCACAAAAGCGAGGAGCACCCAATACTTTCTCTAGATATAAGCGTATCAGACAAGTCTACTGGAGAAAATGGTACAGGTTTAGGGATTCCGGTGACAGATACCATTGATACATAATTTTATAAAAATTCTCTTTAAGATTATAACATAATATAAATTTCAACCCTTTCTTTTACATATTTTCCCACTGTTCCATTTGTTTATCATGTCCAAAATTCTTAGACCATTTTATCTTACAGTCTTTAACTTGTTCATCTTCTGTTTCAAATCTCAACAAAAGTTTATACATTTTAGCAATAAGACATTCATCATTAGTACATAACTCAATTTCAAATAGTTATGTTCAAAACCAAGTCTTTTTATTAATTTTAAATCTTTCTATTAATTGCTTGTTCATCTTCTGTTTCAAATCTCAACAAAAGTTTATACATTTTAGCAATAAGACATTCATCATTAGTACATAACTCAATTTCAAATAGTTATGTTCAAAACCAAGTCTTTTTATTAATTTTAAATCTTTCTATTAATTGTACATGTGAAAGCCATTAACGCATTTATCCTTCTGATGTCAAATTTTCTCTTGCTTTTATTTTAAATTCACCCTGATAGAAATCTAAAATATCACCATAAGCATTTCTGTTTAATTACCATTTCTCTTCTATAATAGGCTTCTTGTGGTGATAGCCATAAAGGTATTTCAGACACAATCTAGATTTATATCTATTCCAAATTCTCAAAATGGCAGGTCTAATAAAATGATTTTTGAAATCTATTTTAATCTTAACTTTGTTGTACCATAAATAGCTGTGCCATCTGAATCTCAAATCATGTCCTTCTAAGTCCTTCTGTTTCTCAGTGTCACCCACTCTTTTTCTTTTTCTGCATGCATTCATTCATTCTTTTTCCTATTTTCTTTCTTATTAGTTCTTGTTAGTTTTTATCTTTCCGTTTTTAAATAAAGTTATTATAAAAAAGAGAATGCTCATTCTGTTCAGATACTCCCATAATTTTTCATGTACAAGAAAGCAAGAAAGTTATTTTATGATTTGTATATGTTTAGATCTTGTTCATTAATGAGTTCATTTGATATCTTCTCTCAAGGTGACACTGACTTCTTCACTGATGTATTTTCCCAGTTTTGTTGTATTTTAATTATTTCTTGCTTTGTTTAATTGACTTCTTTTAATTCTCTCTGGCTTTTACTGCAATGCTACTCTACTTCTGTAAACTGTTTTGGAGTGTCCTTTTCAGGCTCAAAAGGCTCTGTATAATTTTCTAAAAATATAAATAAACAAGTAAGATATCACAAATTTAGGGCTAGGCTTTCCTTGGTTAGAAGCATTTTTCTGTTTCACATTTTGCTAACATGAAATAAATTATCCTAATTTTACCCCTTGAGCAATACTAATGGGAAAGGTTTCAGTATCAGCACCAATAAATGCAAAAAGTAAATATGCAAAGTAAATTAGCTACTGAAAACAATTAATTAGATTAAGCAATTTGATTTCTATAACATTTAAGATCCAAAATATGAAGCTGCTTGATGAAAGAAAACTCATATTGCTCTATGCATCTTATTCATTTGTAGCTAATTAAAAACAATTGTTTGTTGATGTCAAAATTAGTATCTGCAAGATGTGGCACAATAAGAAAAGCCGCTGATGGTGCCAGGCAGATCCATATGGGAAAAGGCATTCTTTTAGTAACCTGATCCTAAGTTGCTAATACCAGAGCACTAATTCTGTTAGGGAATATCTGCACTGCATCCCTAAGTTGTTTCTGCCCTATGCTTATGCTGGCTTAAACCATCTGGCTTCTTGGCTGTTGCACATTGTCTTTATTAATTGAATCAAGTGTTTTGGAATGTTCATTCCATTCAGATACTTCCATAATTTTTCATGTACAACACAATCAAAGGCTTTACTGTAGTGAGTGTGTATACACAACACAAAGTTAAATTTATATTTGTGTGCATACACAAACACACATTAAATTAAGCTGAAGCATCAAAATGTGCATACATATAGGTACAACAAGGAGCTTTACAATAAAAATGTATTTCCTACTGCCCTGTTGGTCTCTAATTTCGTTTACCTTTACCTTTACTGGAACTATTAAGTGAACTTTTGGTAACTACCGGCTCAACTACAGGGGCATTCCATCTTCTGCAAAATAGCCAATGAACTGTTAGGGTTAGCCTGTAAAAAAATTAAGCGCATCAGCCAAAACACATAGGAGTGTTCCAAGTGATTTAAGAGGGAATATGGTACTTTAAAACTGCAGGGAGGGTGAATTTAAAATAAAAGCAAGAGAAAATTTGACATCAGAACAGGGATTGCCAGGACTGCCATTACTAAGTGATGCGGTCATGTAACATTGTGCTTTACAACCACATCGTTTAGCAATGGAAATTCTGCTCCCAATTACCATCGTAACTCAAGGACTACCTGTAGGATTAACATGTCATCAACTGGCATCTTTCAGCCTTTTGGAAGATAAGGGGGCAGGACTGTGTCCCCCACACAAAGGTTGCCCAGTCCTGATTTGGGGCATATTAGGGTATTGAGTGAGCTTGAACAACTGTGGTTTATTCAATGAACTATAATTAGTATGTTTGTGATCCAACTTTCCACTTACTCATTGTGACACAAGAAAAATCTTCCCATGGAGCAATCCATACTGCCTTATAAGCCGAGTGGGTGGAGTCAGTGTTCTTGATTCTTTCCATATAAATTTCATACAGAAAGGAGGACATTTGCCTGGGACAATAGCATGTTGCTAGCTTCCACAGAATTATACAGCTGGGAAGCAGTCCCAAAATTAGCCATATTCGGGCAGAGTAACATTCAGTTCTAGGGTAGGCAGCTATGTTAAACCTAGTTCCTCCTTTCCCAAACTACTTGGATTGAACCAGTCAATCTGAAGAAATTATTGGCTTCACATATACTAATCCTTAATCTAGTTTGTTTGGTTTTGCCTTGTACAATATGTGAAACTAATAAGTTATAGTTTGGAAACCATAACAAGTATGATGGTTGGTTGGATTGATATGGCTGCCAAACTGGGAAGCTTACAACAGATTAGAAGCATAAAACTAAAGGAATTAAAGGCCCAACAGATACTCAGAACAGAATAATAGAATAACCAAGGTCAACCATTGCATATTCCATTCATTACTTTTCATTCCTTGATGGTTCATCCCATGCTCTGGTGGAATGCTCGGGAAGGAATCAGGTTTTCAGGGCCTTAGGGAAGCCAGCAGAGTCAGGATCATCCAAATCTCAGGAAGATATTGTTCCATAAGGCAAGCACTAAAACAGAAAAAGCACACTCCTGGGTCCTGCCAGGCGACATTGTTTCATAGAACAGACCCAAAGCATGCCTACTTTTCCAATTCTCATGGGATGAGCAGAGATAACTGGAGTGGGGCATTCTGCAAATAACCTGGCCTTATGCTGCAGCATATTCAGTTGCACCTAGAAACCTATAGGAAACAAGTGCAGCTTGCAAAATAATAGTGTTACATGGGTGCACCAAGGTGTACCCAAAATTACTTGTGCCACTGCATTCTGGGCCAGTTGCAGTTTCTGGTGGTTTTCAAAAGCAGCCATATGTAGAGCACTTTGTAATAGTCCAAGCAGGACGTCACTAAGGCATTTGTGACTGTGAACAGGGCCTCCTAATCCAGGAAAGGGCACAATTGGCACACAACACAGATTTGTGAAAAAGGCCCTCCTAGCCATGGCTGCCACCTGCATTTCCAGCAGGAGCCAATCTTTCCCCCACTACCAACACTGAAACCAGCCCCAGAGGAAGGAGAAAAACCACTGCAACGACTATGCCTCCCACTCCTAAACACTGAAACAAATTCAGAAGGATACTGTGATTGATGGAATTGAAAGCCACTGAGAAATCAGGATGCATCAACCCCATCCTGATCCTGTCAAAGATTATCTACAAGTGCAGTCAATGCTCTCTTGGTAAATGATGATGATGATGATGCAGCTTTACTTGGAACAACTTACATCCTGTGACAATACCTTTAACACCATCAAACAATATCTGCCTATCCCAGGTCCTTGGGAAGGACTCGATATGTGGATAAAAAATGCCAAATCCAGTCTAAACATCTGGCTGACTGTGTGACCAACCATAATAATACAGTGGTACCTCAGGTCACGAATGCTTCTGTTCATGAACAATTTGGTTCGCGACCAGCACCGTTCGCAAAATTTTGCTTCCGTTCGCGAACTCCGCATCGAGTGACAAACAGGACCCGCGGCCGTTTTCCCTGCCGTGACACGTGGTCATGGCTTTCTGTAGGCGAGATCGCGGACGCAGACAGACACTGGCTGTGAAGCTTTTTGGTGTACTTTTTAGCATGGCTCCAAAGAAAGCGCAGAGCAATCATGGTGGTAAAAAGAAAGTACAGAGCAAGCATGGTAAGAATAAGGTTTTGAAGAAAATAAGCATTGAATTA